TAGCTTCAGTAAGAGACATGATTTGTTCATCATCAATTACTATATTCCTATTTTGTGAGAGCAAATTAAAAATCCTTTCAAACGTTTTCCTTCTATCCTTTTCAAAGCTAATCCTCTCAAATCCTTTAATTTCGTATTCTTGTTCAAAATAACCACTCTTTCCAAGATACGGACTTCCCAATAAAAATAAACATTGTCCTCTCACAATGGCCGATTGTTTCGAAGAAGAAGCCACAACTCTTCGGTTTGTCTGATTGGCCATCATACCGCTCCCCTGTTGATGATGAGACTCCGCATTGTTATTGTTGATCATTTTTTTCTTCTAGTTTTTTCTGTATTATTTTGTTGTTGTAGGACGTTACATTGTGATGCTTGAAGTGGAACGAACTTGGGAGTTTTTTTTTCTAGAAATTTTCGGAAAAGATAAGACCACGTTACAACATCTTTGATTTTCACTGCATATCTAATTTAACAAATTTAAATAAGATTCGATACAAGTTTCTAACTTCCTTTCAAACAATTGTATTATCAGATCACAGCGAAAAAAGAGGATAGCTAATTGGAAGACAAGTGGAACTCGGATGTTCTTTCATATTAAAAAAAAAATAACTGAACATCAAGATACTGTTGTTGCCCCCTCAACACAAAGATATTTTTAATCGGCGATTGGAACATTGACAACATCACCATCATCTTCAATATTATTAACAGTGATATATTTTATTCTTCCGAAGAAATACTGCTACTCTCTCTTGTGAAAACTTCAAATTATTTTAATATAATCAGATCATAATAATGGTGAATCAATTTAATATTCACTCTATCAAATTGAAAAGTAGTGAAGCAATTAAAAGAGATGAACAACGTAATTTTAGTGAAGCACTGAAGCAATATGGTGCTTGTATGCTTTCACTTGGACAATTATTGAAGGAAGATAACTTGGCAGAGGAATTGAAATCAAATGCACAAACATTTAAACAAGTTTCTCAAGCTTTAAAGATTTGTAAAATGTGCTTTGAAAGAGTTTCCGATATTGTGGACAAGGAAATACCAAATTCTTCTTCAGGTGGCAATACTTTGACTCCTAATAATTCATTTGGTATTGGAGTTACCGGAAATTCAAATCTATCAACTTCAATGATTAATATACCAAGTAGTGGTTTCAATTCTTCATCTTCATCATCTTTACAACAAATACCAACCTCTATGAATTCATCCTTCCATTTCTCCAATAGATCTTCCATTACTTCAACAACAAGCAACACACCTAGTGATGTCAATTCATTGAGATCATCTATGACTTTCAATACACCTCCTCCAATCAGTAACAACATGCCATTCAGTAATGGCAGTACTAATCCATCAGCACCTTCGCTTCCATCAACAAACTTGCAACCAAATATTTCCAATAATTCATCACCAACAATCTCGCCACAACTTTCAAACTCACCAATCATTCAATCAACACTTAGACAATCAACAAGCTCTTATGGAAGAGACTCTTTACAATCGGCAATTCAACCACCTTTAGGAACAATGTCTAATAGATCTTCTGTTCAACTTTCTGGACCTGTTATTGAGTTCCAACCTCCTCCAGGAGCAATCACTCCAAGAATTAATTCTCCTCTCGATTCGGCAAGAAACCGTGCTTCTGTTTCACTTTCTGATGTTTCAACATTTGGTGTTGATCCTTCGGAGAAGAGAAAGAGTATCAAATTGGGAGAGGCCTGGGATGGAGAATCTACAACTTTTGATGGATCGGATGGTAATCCTTGGAATAAGCTTGTATCATCCAAATTCGTTTCAATCTATACAAAGGAGAGAACTTTCAAGACTAGGGATGAGCTCTTTGATAGAGAATTATCATTGACAGAATCCCCTGAAGATCAATGGGCCATGATTCGTTCACACATTTCTGAAATTGCAGATCAAGTCTCCCAACATCCAATTAATAATCTATTAATTCATTTTACTCAGAAATTCAATGCTGAATTCCAAAAACAAGAGGATACAGCCTGGCTTAATGTAGGAGAGGCAAACAAACAAATTGCTGACCTTGCAACAGCAATAGTCAACTCGCTTGAACAATATTGGAGCTCACTTCAAAGTATGGAATTGAGACATTACATTACCAAAGCATTTGCTGAGGGTGTCATGAAACGTGTATATAGAACTCTTGTCGAAGTCTATGAAACTCAAAATCAAAACAAGGAAATTGAAGGAAAGTTGGAAGATATTGGTCCAGTGACATTTGATGATTTAGGAGTGGATGATGAGGGAATACTGAGATCAGCCGACTTGTTTGAACCTGCCATTATTATTTTAGATAATTTAAATATTGGAAAGACACCCTATGCCACTCTTGATACTCTCGTAAACTTCCACAAAAAGATTGTTGAAATTTGTAATCAAGTTACTGATTACAGTTCACTGAGTGATACAACTCTCTACGGCTTACTTTTATACATTATGCAACTCAGTAATACAAAGAACATTCCAAGTACATTAGACCTTGTCCACGACTATATTCAAGAAGAAGAAATGTCAGACGAAGAAAAGACTATTATTGAATTATTAGAAAACGTCATTGATTGGGCAAGTCAATTTGAAGTGTAATGTTGATGTTGTTCAATAAAAGTTTTTTGCGTGTGAAAACAATAAAAACTTTTAGTTTACAAAAATTGTCAACCAAAAAAACAACACCAAGCAGAATCCTTTCTTTTGCGGAACTTATTTCAAGATAATTTTTCACCCGCTAAAAAGGATTCTGGCAGTTGTAAGAAAAAATTAATTTTTTATTTTTCAAAAAAAATAACCACACTCTCTTTTTGCAACACCCGGCCACATTTTTAATCATACAACAACAGAGGCTTTGTTGGAAAAATTTTGTGATTGTTTAAAACGGATAAGAAATAATAGTAGGAAATTAATTTATTATATTGACACTCTAGATCATCAAAATGTCATCTAAAACTACGGTAGAAGATTTGTCAAAGTTACTTAAAAAGTTTAATGAAGATGTTTTAAAAACCATGGTGGAGGCAACCAAAATGGATTATAAAAATAATGTTAATGAAATGAGTGACGACCTGATCGATTGGGCATACGAGCAAGGTATCAGAAAATTTGTAGAAAAGCTTGATGCTAAAACATTAAAATCATCGATGAAGGAAGCTAGTGTTGAACTTGCTGATGATGTAACAGCATTATCAACTCTTGGAGAAAAATTCCTTGATAGTGTTGAACTGGATCCTAATGGCCCAGAAGGTTTTTTGAGCAAGATGAAAATGTCCACACTTAAAAAGTTTGCTCAAATACTTAATTTTGAGACAGATGCATCCGATGAAAAACAATTTGCCGAAGATATTGCTGATCAGTTTTTATTGGATGGAACAATTATAATTATTGGTCATTTATCAGAGGAACAATTGAAACAAACCTGTGAAAATCTCAAACTTAAAACCAAGGCTAAATTTACCAAGGCAAACTATACAGACTTGATTCTAGGTCAAGTATTCAGTGGTATTCTCCCTGATGAAGATGAAGAGGAGGAACCAAAGAAGAACAATAAGAAGGAAAAGAAACCAAAAGAAAAGAAGGAAAAGAAGGAAAAGAAGGAGAAGAAGAAAAAGACAGTTGATGGTAGAAAGGATTCAAAGGCTAGACGTGAAGAACATAATGAACAAATTAAAGCCAACAGATCAGAGTTGAAAGATTGCAAGGACTATGAAGAAATATTCCAAAATTATTGGACTGAGGAACTTAAAGAATTCTGTAAAACAAATGGTGTCAACTCAACAGGTACTAAGAAGGAACTCATCAAGAGAATCTTGGATTTCAATGAAGATCCACAAAACAAAGGATACCCAACCAAGAAGAGAAAACGTAAGGCTGCTTCTTCAGCTAAAAATAAGAAAAAGAAGCAAACCAAAAAGTCGGGCGAATCCGAAACTGAAACAGCTGCTAACGGAAAGGAGGAATCAGAATCAGCAGAAACTAAGGAAGAATAATTTATATATATACTAAACACCAACTAGTTGTAAAATTAAACAAAACATATTAAGTTATGTTATCATGCTAGATTACAAGACAGTTAAAGAATTAATTTAATAATTTGAAAGGTAAATTAACAGTCTGTATTATCTAATTGAAAATGTGATTCAGACATTTGGTGGTTATCTGTGTCATCTTCAAAAAAGCTATCAAAGAAGTTGTCATCATGCACATTATCATTAGCAGCAGTACCAGAACTGCCAAGTAACGGTTGCTGTTGTGCTATCTCATTATTGTTAACATCCAATTTGAGCATTCTTTCTTCCACTTCTTTCATTCTGGCAAATACTTGCACTTTTTGTTCCTTTACGCCTAGTGTTTGTTCCAAGTTTTCCAATCTTTCATTGACATACTCAGCAGTTGGTTTGTTGTAGCTCTCAGATTTGGTGGTTTGTTTGAGAATGTTGAGATAATTTTCAGAGTTGTACTTGTCCATTGTTGAATTATTTGATTCACTCATAAAACTATCATTTTCGTTTGAATTAATTATTGATGTTTCATCGGTTGTTGTAAAATTACTACTGGAAGATTTTTCGTTGGTGGAAATTTTCTTATTGGAAGGGGGTATTGTGTGTGAGTGACGCTCAACTTCATTACTCAAATTATTCACAAAAGAGCTTACACGATCTTCTGAAGCATTCAACAAAAGAGGATTATTGAGGTCATTTTCCAAAATTTTAGCACTATCCCTGAGTCCCAATTCCCACAAATATGAAATTATATGCTGATGAACTGAACGACTAGTTGTTGGAGGTTCTTTTCTTTTTTGATTGCTTGTTGTTTCGGCCGTTTTCGATATATTACTAGAAATAACTACTGGTGATGTATTATTACTATTATCAGCAGTGTTCACATTCCTATTACTTGTTGGTGGTCTCTTTTTCTTCTTTGGTTTTGTTTTAGAAGACTGTGTGGTGGTGATGGTGGATTGGGTTGATGATGGAGGGCTTGTACTAGGCTTTGGTTGAATTGGAGTCGGAACCTTATGAAAAGAAGTATTATGGGGAGTTGTTGGAGGAGGAATATTTGGCATTACAGGCTGTGGAAACATGCCAAACATTGGTGTGGTGGTAGGAATCATGTGCATCGTATTAATTGGAGCATACATCATGGGAACATTAGGCATAGCCATTGGATTCATTGGAAAGTAAGGAAAATGTGTTGGAGGAGGTATCACAGGACCTTTAAAAGAAGGTACGTGTTGCTGTGGGAGTTGATCATTGGGCGTCATTGGTGGTATTGATGAAGTGGTGGAGGAAGATTGATTGGAAATAGGAGATGATAATTGTTTTGATCCTTTAGGAGGTCGAGAGGTTTTCTTTCCACCCGTTCCTGATGTTGATGATGTTGGTGAGGGAGAACCCTTCAAAATGTGTGCAGGAGAAATTGGTGTTGTTATCATACTGTACAGCAAACACAAAAACTTTAAATTAAACTAATATTTAATGATGATGATATTATTTTGTTATTTTGTCCAAGTTTTTCAATACAGTAGAGTAGTTTTGATCGGGAGCTACTTGCTTTTCTATATTGGTACGAAATTATGAATTAACAATCCCGTTTGGTCGTTGTTGTGTCCAATTATCAGATAAGAAGAATTTTATAAAGAAGAATGACGAGAATTTTTTTAAAGTTGGTTTCTAAAAATAACATCTACAGATATCATGAGATGTTCGTTTTACGCTGTGATAGTAAAATTAAAAGTTTCAGTTTTGTTAGTAAAATCAAGTGTAGACCGAAAATTTATTGAGCATTGTGAATGTTCATTGAAATATGAAAATATGAAATATTGTAAAGTTTGCAAGACTGGATTTGTAAAAAAAAAATGGATCCACCACTGGCCGTGCTATTGCTTGGCGACATTGGTTGTGGGAAAACCACATTCCTATTAAAATATACAGGTGTTGATGATGAAACCCTATTCGAAGGAGAATACGTTCCCAGACGATTGGATAGTTATGTGAGTTTCTTTAATTCCGATCACCACTAATATTATTTTGCAATTTTAAAAGTCTGCTAATATCAAGTTGAAAAATTCGTCAACTGTTTGTTTGTCATTATTTGATGTGATCGGAGATGAAATTCAGTAAGTAATTTAGTGAGGAAATTAAATTCAAACAAACAATTTGAATTATTAGTGGTGAGTTTTAGTGGAAATTGGAATTTAATGTGATGTCATAATTAAAGTTGAAAGAGCTTTTATTAATTCAATGAATGTGTTGGTTCTTTGGTGAGTTTGTGATTGTGTGAAATTATTATTGACTGGATTTAGTTTTTCAATGGTTGATGAAACGACCTTTGAAAGTTTGGAATCTAAATGGATGAAAATTATAAAATCTACACAGATAGATTTTGTAGTTTTGGTTGGAATGAAAAATGATTTAATTTCTGATGAGAAATTTCAGGGAGTGAGCGAAGAGAAAATTAGAAATTTCATGAGAAGACATCCAAGAATTGATCGATTTTTTAGTTGTTCCTCCAAGTCTGAATTGAGTGTTAACAACTTTTTTGAATACCTTCTCAACAGAGGACCAATTGAGCCAAGTAATTTGACTGAATTTGAAGTGGAGGATTATTTTCTAGTGGACAAGTTCTCCAAGTTATTGAATAATGAGTGGAAGAGCGATTTGATTTTTGAATGTGGCGTGGAGGGGAAATTATTTGGACATTCTTGGATTTTATATTGTTGTCCCTGTCCTTTACTGAAAAGAATTTCAGAAGTGATCATTAATTCGAATGGTCAATCTTTGGATCAACGCGAAATTATTTCCATTCAGCAAGAGTTTCAGATTGACCTTAGTATTGAATTGGATAGTAACATATCAGTAGTTCGTATTGCTTTCGAAAATATTTCGAAAAAAGACCTTCTTGATATTTTGAAACTAGTTTACTCTGGAGATTGGAGTGAGGGAATTAATTTTCAAAATCCATTTTCTTTCTCAGACTATGAGGCAATAACACACTTAAATAAGAATTTATTAGATCGTGAACATATCAAGAACAGTATTAATAATGCCTATTTCAATAATATTAGGCAATCTACATTGGAAAATTCTCATTGGTTGGATGTTTCGTTTATGATTGGGAACAATATTTTGAAATCGAATAGAAACTTTCTGTCGTGTGCTTGTGAATATTTTCAAATTATGTTTGAAGGCAATTTTACAGAGAGTGAATCTTGTATTGTGGACTTGACAAATGATTCAGAAGGAGACGAAAAGTTTTATTATCATTTCAAATCAATTGTGGAATATATTAGTACTGGAAAGGTAGAAATGACCGAAGAGAATGCAATAAGTCTTCTAACCCTATCGAATAAGTATATGATCAGTTCATTGAGTTCTATATGCGAATTATACATTGCTTCAATAGTAAATGAAGAATTGGAAACTCCTCTCAAAGACTGCTCTATTGACTTGTTTACCATTTTTGAAATTTCAGAAACCTACCAAGCTCTACAATTACAAAAAGTGGTTTTATATTCCTTTGCTTCACATTTGAAAGAAATTAAGAAAGACCCACAATGGAAAACATTTCCTTACAAGGAATTAGTTTTATTGAAAAATGTCAAATGCCTATTACAATGATTGTTATTTACAAATGATAATTCTAAACTAAATTCATAGATTTGTGGAAGTGGAACATGAACGAATGGTTTGAGAACCTTTTGATCTTTGGTAATCTCATAATCAGCATAATGAATGCATGTTGAGTGGAGAATCCACATTTTTCCAATGCCTTAGCAGAGAAGGTACTGGAACATTCGGAAAATGCTTGTTCATATCTTTTCGTTCATTCCTTCAAATGTACCTTTGGAAGATTGATGAGAAGCAGTACTATATTCTTTTGAGAAACTCTTGTTGGAATCAAAGCAAATGCCAAGTTAAAGTAGAGAATGACCATCTCAATCATTTTTATAAAGAACAAAATTTATTAAATATTAATCAATAACATATTTCCACTTTATTGGATGAACATGTTTTCTGAGGACTAATAAACAAAAGTTTCAGAATAACACAATTTGTTTGTTGAGGGATGACGTTGGAGTATACGTCATTGATTTCCAAATTTGTCCAACCGACACGTGTGGTGAGGTGTTTGATACGAATCTATTTAAAAACTCTAATGAGTTGATAATAATGAAATTTTCATAATCAAAAAAAACAACAATAATTGGTAACTGCTCAGTTCTCAATTAAACAAACTTCTACCTACTTCTTTCACTCATATTGTAAAATATTGTAATCAAAAATGTCTTCATTTTTCAGTTGGATTTTAAATTATTGCTCTGACTTGCTGAAATTATTGGGATTAATGTCATCAGTGAAGGGAAAGATTATATTTCTAGGATTAGACAATGCTGGAAAGACAACACTATTGCACAAATTGAAGAGTAATCTTATTGGTGCCTATCAAAGTACAACTACTCCCAATAAGGAATCCATTGAAATTTCATCGACATGTTCTGTGGAAGCCATAGATATGGGAGGACATGATCTGGCACGTCAGCTTTGGAAACAATATTGCATTGATGTGAATGGTATTGTTTTCATTGTCGATTCAATGGATAGAAAGAGATCTCAGGTTGCTGCTAAGGAATTGGCCAAGATTTTAAATGATCCAGACTTGGCCAATGTTCCAGTAGTAATTCTGGGTAATAAGGTTGATAATCCTCAAGCCATGTCTGAATTTGAACTCTGTTGTACAATGGGAGTTTCTCATTTGAGAACTGGTCCTACTAAGGGTGTTAACGAGTCGAATCCTCAACGTCCTCTCGAAGTTTTCATGACCAGTATAATTAATGAGTTTAATATTACTGAGAGTATTGAATGGTTGGTCTCTAAAATAAAGTAAATTTTTCACTTCCATGAGTTATTATTGAAAGTGAACTATTGCAGCATGCATTTCTTTTGTTTCAGAGTTGAATTTGAAGCTATCACAATAGATTTGGCAATAATTTCAGTCAAATCTTTGATACCTTCATTGTTAAAAGAGCTGGTTTCCAAATAGGTAATACATCCCATTTTTCTTGCAAGTAGCTCTCCTTGTTCGAATCCAATTGGCTTTCTTTGAAATTTCTCAGTTAATCTCTTACAAAAGGTTTTTTCATTTCTCAAATCAGTTTTGGTGCAAACCAGAATAATATTTGGGCAATATTTAATACATTCAGGAAACCACTTTGATATCAAACTTTCCATACTAGAATCAGATCCACAACTGAAACTCAAAAGAAATAACTCTACACCAGGGAAAATTCTAAAAATCCTGAATCTTTTTTGATTGGTGTCAATATTGTTACAAAGAAAACAACTTACTGATCCACATCTTGCAATTACTTCTAATATATGTATTGAATTAGAAAACTTACCTTCATGAATAGCAGTATCCCAATAGTGCAGATTAATTGTGTTTCTATCTATGTATTTATAGGTGTCACTAAAATTGTCAAAAACAGTTGGTGTATACTCTGTTGGCATCTCATAATTCTGCATTCGCATGTAAATACTGGTCTTTCCCACAGCTTGATCACCTTTAAATCCAAATTGAGTTGAATATTTCAAAAACAAAACTTACCAATTTGAATGATTTTGTACTGAGGTTGTAAATATTTGATTTTCAAATCACATGCAAGAATTTCCTCTCGTGTATGAAAGCCCACTCTCCCATACTCAAGCTGTTTTAATTTTTCAATATATTCTGTTCTCTTTTTATAATCTTGCTCAGATTTCAATGCCATTTCAGCTCCCAGTTCAATTAAATGTTTCTTAAAATCACAATCAAAACGTAAATACTTTTCAAATAAATTGGTGTTATCGACTTTCCTCAATAATTGATATCTGTACTGATTTTTGAAATTATCATTGAGTACCTTCACTCTATTCACATAATATTCCTTCCATAAATAGTCTTCTGATGAGAGCTGACCAATTCTCAATTTTTTAGAAACAATTGCCAGAATCATCAATTCTGAAACATTTAAAAACGAAAGAACAATTCGGAAAATATCATCATTCAATACTTGGTCGAAAATTGATAATTGATTTTCTTTTGTTACTTCCGAATGTTCGTGCTCGTGATCAGCATTTGAAAAATTATTATTATTACTGGTGATGGAACTGGTTTTGTGTTGTTCCATTTTTTTTTCTTTGTTAAATTATTACAACGAACAATGAACAATGAAAAGTTGTTTATTTTCAAATTATTGAGATGCATTCACAGATGATCTTCTCTTGAAAATCAAATGTAAATTTCCTGGGCCGACAGTTGGACCCTTTTCTTCAGTCACTTGATCTTCAGGAAGTCTCTCATCATTGACCAATTTAATATCGTATAATTGTAAAAGTCGTGACATGATGGCAAAGGCTTCATATTGAGCAAATTTATAGCCAATCTATTAAGGCAAATCATTATTATAAACTAAAACTGTCATACTTACACATTTTCTATTTCCCATTGAGAATGGAACCCATGTGAAATCGCTGTGAATCTTTTGTCTATCCTCAAAATCAGTTGGGAATCGTTCTGGATTATATTCATTGGCTTGTTCCCAGAATTTTTCATTCCAATGAGTGTTAGCAAATTCCATTTGAATAATTGTATCTTTTGGAATGTGATACTTTCCAATGGTGGTTGCCTTTTTGGCAACTCTATAGGCAGCACTGACAGGAGGATGAACTCTGAGACTTTCCATAATGATCATGTTGAGATAGTTCATTTTAGGGAAATCATCATAGGTTGCAATTCTTGATCCATTCTCAAGTATGCGATCAACTTCTTCTTGAGCTTTCTTGAGTATTTCAGGTCTTTTACCAAGTTCGTAACAAGTCCACTTAATATTATTCGAATTTTCTTGAATTTTCATTGAAAACTTACCTGTAATGTAGTAGCTATCACTCATGTTAACAAAAATCAAATATTAATCGAAACTTACAAGTTGTCTAAAATTTCAAATAAAAAATTCATCATTACAAAAAATTGTAAATTTGCAAAAACTCACCTCATGTCTATTTCAATAAAATTAGGAAAAATAGTTTTAAAATTTGAATACAAACCCAGCAAGCGAAAAGATGAATGCATCTGATTTAACTTCATCCTCAGTCAAAACTCCCTTTTGAACATAGTTGGCCTCAATGAGACAACTCAACAAGTCTCTTCTTTCTCCAGTTTGAATTTCTCCAGAGTTGGCATAAGCTAATTCAATTTCTTTGGTTCTTTCCTTGAGGATTTCGTCCAATTTAGAACTGACAATGTTATAAGCAACATCAACCTTGAATAATTTTTGAGCAAATGGATATAAAAACTTCCACACCTTACTCATTCCAATAAATAATTTTACAAAGATTCCTGTAGTGAATAAAACTTCCAAACTCTTTCTGAATTGTTGACCTTCGGATAAAGTTCCTGTTTTTTCCTTGAAAATTTCAAAATCCAAACCGAAACCAACTTGACCCAATATATCCAATGTGACATCACTGAAATCACCCTTAATGTCACTTGTCAAATAAGCATCTTGATAATTTTCTCCATTCTTGAGAGTATGATCTCCCTTTTGTTTCTCCCATCTAGATTCGAATAATTTTTCTACAGACTTGGCAGCATATTCACACAAATATTGCAAATTCTGAGTTGTGAATGCAGGCGAACATATCTTGTGATGATTTTTCCATGAATCTGAAGAAGCATCCAAAACTGTCAAGATATTCTCTCCAAACACTTTGAAAACTTCATAAACTTCTGTGAATTTTGTAAAGATTGATCCCTTTGTAATGATAACTTCCTTTAACAGATCCTTATCATTAATAATGACCATATTTCTATCCATTAGTGACATTCTAGTAATACCACTCTCCTTATCACCATACTTTTCCATCAACTCAGTCACTGAACGTTGATTATTCATGTGTAAATAGGGAGAAATAATTGGCACTCTCCAAAAAAGCGAAACAATTTGCCAATGTCCAGGAATGTGTGCCACCTTTCTGTAATTTAAATAAATTTTCAGAGCAACAAATGAAAGGTATCCAATGCATGCTGTTAACAACCACACCCAAATCATTTTTCAATGTGTTTACTGTTTGTTTTTTTAGTTGAATTTTTTTGACCAAACTCGAGTGTTTCGCATCAAATTTGAATGGAAATTAATTGCGGCATGTCGCAGAGTCGGGTGGCGCATAGCTCTGTTCCTCCGTGCTTGACATTACGCTGCTGAGTGAATTTTACAATTTTTTAAATGACACTTATTGAAGTGATTAAGAGTGGCGAATTTTATTTACTTTTCTGTAACTGTAATTTCATTGGTTGATGTGTTCACCTTTAAAGCAAAGGATTTCGAAGTAATGTTCAGTGGATTTTCCAGTTCAATAGTGCATTTGGCTTCCTTCTCATCAATTGAATTCAGATTATACTTCAGTACTGCTGATATCTTTGTACAATCGGATGGAATTGGATCGAGCATCATAGTATCCTTAAAGCTCACTACTTTTGAGCCGTGAACCTTTAGGCTGATTGATCTCAATACCTTTGAACCCATTGGTCCTAAAGGAGATGGACTAGTAATTTTGAATCCAATTAACTTTTTCTCACTTGTTGGATTGACACTTTCAAAGCTTTCTAATGAATATTCAGTTTCTAGAATGAATGGAGGTATTTCCAAAGCCAGCTTTTTCATTACCGTATCAATAACCTTGTCAGCTTCTGCAAAAATTCTCAAATCTGCCTTCTTGTCTTTTGGAGTTAATTGGAGATTGATAATGACTAATTTTCCTCCATTTTCTTTACACATCTGTGGAAGGGAACATGCAGGATTAACTCTCATACTTGTTCCTACGACAATAGCCAGGTCAGCCTTGGAAGCATTCTCCTCTGCTCTTTCCAATTGATCAGTTGGTAAATTTTCATTGAAATTAATAATTGTATCTTCCAATTCACTTTTACACTTTTCACAGAATCTTCCAGTCCTGTGGTCGTGAACATTCTTGTTATTTCTACATCTAAAATTACGGACATATTCTATGTTACATTTGTGACAAATCTCAACATTGGTATTACCATGCAATTCACTCATATTCTTTCTTGGAATTCCTGATTTAACATGCAATCCGTCAACATTTTGAGAAGTTACATATTGAATCTTTCCAGCATTGTATAATGTAGAAATAGCCATGTGAGTACGAGTTGGGAAGATTATCTTTGATTCATCCTTCTTTGCTACAGTTTTTACTCCCTTTTCTTTCATAGTCCAAACACCTATCAGAAATTTAATTAATTTCCATGAAAAGAATTATTGTAAACATACCATTAGGAGATCTGTAATCTCTAATACCTGCTGCTCTACTGATACCAGCACCTGTATATAATACAATATGTTTGGATTGATTTATGAGATTGACTAAATGTTCAATCTTGGCATTCAAAACATTAGTTTCATCAAAATATTCTGTTATATCATCTCCATCCTTATTGGTAATTGGTTTGGCAGAAAGTTTTGGATTGGTTTTTATAAGGGTAGAAAAATCAGTACTTGTTGATTCTCCCTTTCTTGATGAAGCAGTTTTCTCTCTTGTTGTCCCAGATGACGATGAAGAAGCAGGTGAAATCTTCTTTCCCGAAGTATTTGATGAAGTGTTTGATGAAGTGGAGGAACTTGCTTTTGATGATGAAGTGGTTGTTGATGGCATGATGATTGATAATAAAAGAGGATCTTTTTTTTACTTTATTTTTTCCTTAATATCTGGTAGTATTCTCTCGGGGTATATCTTGCAAGGTTCATCCTTCACTAACTGTCTTTAACCAACTCTTTAATATATTACATGTTCCGAGTGCGCATATTATACAGTAAGGTTTACAAAAATATTAAATAATTGGAAAAAAACGTGATCGAAACGTGAATTCGCTAATAAAATCAAAAAAAAATGTCCAAAGCAACCATAACCTTGAACAGAGTAGAAAATTGCCCAAAATCACCACATAACGGCTGCTGGGGAAATACATCATTTGGTACTTTGACTTACAATGGAATTTCAGTTCCTTGCAATGCTTCAGGAAATAGAAGTTACAATATCGATGTAACTGTACGACCATCCGATTGTTATGAATCTAAAAAATCGACAGAATTCAATGTGGACATGCCGTACGCTGTTGGACCAGTTGAGTGGAGAACAGGTGTCTATATTCATCAGGTATAGTTTCTAATATGTTTTTAAGAGATTATATTATAATATTTGCAAAATCAAATCAGTATCCATTCATGTGTTCTGCAGGTTGCATTCATTTAGAAGCTGCAAAGCAATTTCATGATTGGGTCAAGAGTAATTCCTCCGTTAGAATTATCATTAAATCAACTTATTAAAATTATGACTATTGTTAAACATTTCAATTTGTGTTCGTTCTCATTGTAAACTCTTGCAAAAAATTAATTTACCAATTTTAGACCAATATGATCTTTGTTGACATGTATCATGCCGTAGATTTACAAAAGAAAATCAAATAGTGTTCCTATGTGTTCTGGTATTCTACCAAATTGAAGAATCTAGGGCATTGGACACATATTGTGTTTCATCGAAAATCCAAGTCCTATCATGTTCATAAAAACCCGAAATCCGACCACTTACCAAATCTCTCTTTCATCATCTGTTAAAAAGATCACATCCATTGACCACACAACATTTTCAACAACTTTAAAAAAATAAACCAACCTAAACACTTCTAATTGTCATCATGTCCAGTAGCGAGGGTTTTATTGTTGCACCAACAGAATTGATAGTGCATAATTTATGTAAAAAGTCAGATAATACCATTGAAGGTTTATTGGACGAATCTGGTGATTATGGTTGTTCCACAGATTTTATCAACAAACCTTGTGTAGAGTTGAAATTTGATAGAGTTTATCAATTTACCACTCTCGAATGTACCTCCAACAAGAAGTATTACGATGATCAACAGAGATTAAAGGGTGTTGATATTTATTGTCGTTCCAATGAAAGTGATCCGTGGAAGGAAATTTATTCATTCAGAGAAGGACACGGCATTCAAAAAGTGCAATTGGGATGTGCAGCTCGTTATTTCAAATTTGATAAATTTGGAACTCATCATGTGGCTTTTGGTAGATTGTGGTTGAGAGCTAGTGATGCTCCTGCTGTGAATATAAAGACAAAGACTGGTGAGATTGTTCAAGTTTCCAATGTACAAGAAGTTACTGTTGCTGAGAATTTAGATGAACCACCATATACAGAAGGTGAAATCAGTGTAATTGCTCCATCAAAATTGGTATTATCCACTAAGGATAGTTGGGGAAATAACACCATTGAAGGATTATTAGACGAAACTGGAAAGCATGGTGCTTGTACTTCAAATGGATTGAAGCAGAATATTGTTCTCACTTTTGATAGAGTTTACCTTTTCACATTACTCGAATTCAAGACAAATAGATTGGGAGAAATTAATCAATATGGTTTATTACAAGATACTTTAATCGAATATAAACAATTCGAAAGTCAAGAATGGATTCCATTGAGAGAAATCAGTAAATCTGATATTAAGCTCAATCCAGAAAGTACATTTATCCATTTTGATACACCAGTCAAAGCAAGAACTTTCAGATTTACAAAATTGGGAAATGGTTTCGTCCAATTATTCTTTGGAATGTTGAAATTATTTGCTTATCATCCATATACTGAAATCAAGACACTTTCAGGAGTTGTTTCTAGATATGTTTCACCATCTTCTGTTGTATCTGAACCTGTTGTCACTCAACCAGCTACAACCACTCCTGTAGTTTCTCAACAACAAACTGTAACTCCAGTAGTTACACAGACACCTCCTGTTGCTGTTTCTCAAGATGAACCAAAATATACATCTGGTGAAGTTAGTGTCATTGCTCCAGTTGAATTGAAAATGTCTGGCAAAGATAGTTGGGGAGATAACACCATTGAAGGATTATTGGATGATTCTGGTAAATTTGGTGCTTGTACAACAAATGGTAGCTCTGAAATTAGATTGATTTTCGATCAAGTTTACTTGTTCACATTCTTGGAGTTTAAAGCTTGCAAATTGGGTGAAGGAAATCAAACCTACTATCTTCAAGATTCAACAATTGAATACAAGGTTAAGGAAAGTGATGAATGGACCAAGTTAAAGACTCTTGAAAAGTCAGATATCAAGTTCAATCCAGAGCTCAATACCATCAATTTTACAACACCTATCAAGGCTAAATATTGGAGATTTTTCAAGCAATGGACCCACTTGTTCTACGGTATGTTGAGAATGTATGGTTATGCTCCATATATTGCTCACAAGACCAAGTCAGGTACAGTTCAACCTTATGTTCCTGGATCTTCACAACCTGTTGTTACATCTACTCCAGTTGTTCAACAAACAACAACCACTCCAGTAGTTTCTCAACCGGTAACATCTACTCCAGTAGTAACACAAACACCTGTTGTTTCCACTCCTCAACCACAAGTTGTTCAACAACCAGTAGTAGCTCAACAAGTTGTTGTACCAACAGTTTCTGATGAACCTAAATTTACTTCAGGTGATATCAACTGTATCCCTCCTCTTGAAATGAAGCAATCTTCAAAGGACAGTTGGGGTGATAATACTTTAGAAGGATTATTTGATGATTCTGGTAAATTGGGTGTTTGTACAGGTAATAATTCTAACCAATTTATTGAAATCAAATATGGTGCCGTCTATTTATTCACTTATATGGAATTTAAGACAAGTAAATTGGGAGAATCTATGCAATTAAGTAGTTTAGATAATGTTAAAATTGAATACAAAGTTAAGGAATCAGATTCATGGACACTTGCTGTTCAATTAAAGAGAAGTGAAATCAAAACCAATCCTCAAGTCAATACTATTCAATTCAATACACCAATCAAAGCAAGATATTGGAGATTCTTCAAGGAAGATCGTGATTATCTCTTCTTTGGTATGATTAGATTATTTGGTTATTGTGATTATGTACCAATTCAAACTAAGAGTGGTATTATTTTATCAGTGAAGGAAGCTCTTGCTCAATGGGAACCAAAATATACTGGTCCAGAAATTAATCTTATTCCAATCAAGAAACTTAATTCCAAGGGAGAATCCAGACGTGAAAATACATTGGAAGGTTTATTAGATGATACTGGTGATTTTGGCTATGTCACTACTTCTAATCATAAGGAAATTGAATTTGAATATGAGCATGTTTACTTATTTACCCACTTTGAGTACATGACTTTGACAACTGTCAGCAACCCAGTTTATTATCTCAAAGATACTAAAATTGAGTACAAGTTGAAGGATTCTGAAACTTGGACCTTGTTGACTACTATTGAAGAAAATCAAATTCAAATTACTCCTCTCGTAAATACTATCACTTTACCACAACCAATCAAGGCCAAGTATTTGAGATTGGTTGCTTATAGCAGTTGTATTGAAATTGGTATGTTTAGAGCTTTTGGTTATTCTCCATTTGTTCCAATTGAAACAAAGAGTGGTCCAATTCTCCCACCAGAATTAATTGAAGAACAATTGAAGGATCCATTCCCAGGTTGTGATCAAATTAACTTGATCAAACCTCATGCTATGTATCACAGTACTAATAGACGTACCAAGACTGATCCAAAAGTTATTGATGATTTATTAAGATCAGATGGAAAACCAGGTTTTGCCACAAATGATGGTACTTCATCATTTATTGAAGTTGCATTTGAACGTGTTTACAATTTCAGAGTTTTGGCATTTAGAGAACATCCTAATGGTAAACAATTTGAAAAAGTAGATGGTTGGGGTAGAACTCAAACCTCTTCAATTGTTGGTGTTTCACTTGAATACAAGATGAGAAGTAGAGATCCATGGGTTACTTTGCAGCATATTACAGAAATCAAGACAAGTGTCCAAGGTGTTTTAATGGTAGATTTTGGAGAATGTGGACATAGAGCTAGATATTTCCGTTTTGTACAAACTCCACACTCTGGATTGACTGGTACTTTAGCAGTTGGTATGCTCAAATTTTATGCTATGGCTCCAGTTCAAAACTTTAAGATTGGTAATGCTGACTACAGTGGTGAAGTCAAGATTGAAACAATTAGAAATGACCACTCAGATATTCCAAAACTTGCTCCAGCAAATCTTGTTGATCCAATCTATACTGAAAGTACATGTCCAGATGTTAACGTAGTTGCTCCAATCAAACTCTATTCATCAAAGAATAATAATAGAGCCAATAACACTATTGAAGGTATTATTGATGATTCAGGAGTGGCTGGATGTGCTATAGGTCAATCTGTTCATAACTATATGGTTCTTGAATTTGAAGCTGTTCATCTTTTCAAATATTTGGAATTCAAGAAGCAAAAGACTATCAAGTTTGATGATGAGCTTCGTCACCGTTTGAATTTGTACTATAAGGTTCAAGAAGGTGATGCCTGGACTAAAGTTGATACTTTTGATCAAAAGTATTACCACTGGCCAAAACTCAATATTTGGAAGTTTAATGGTGATGAAGGTATTACTGCTAGATTCTGGAAATTTGAAAGAATTTGTGGTGACTTTTCATTTGGTATGCTTCAATTCTTTGCTGTTGCTCCATTTGTTCCATATAATACTACAAAGGGTTTACTCCTCTCTAGAGATCAACAAGAAGCAATTCACATGACTCCATACAGAGGTAGTGAAATCAATTGTTTAGTTCCAAATGATATGATGATTGGAAGAGAAGATGATGAAACCAAAACACCTAAACAAGCAACCAAATTTAATACCTATGATAGAGCTGAAAATAATCAAAAAGGTATTTTGGATGATTCTGCTGAATATGGTATCTGTTCACCATTTGGTACTTTGATTTTAAGTTATACTAATATTCACTTCTTCAAATATATTGAATATTATACTCATGCATTGTACAATGAAAAAACCCAAACCAATTTCTGCTCAGATATTAGAGTGTATTACAGAATTAGAGAAACTGAACCTTGGATTAGTTTCGATAAGACTATTGAAGAATCCAAACCATATCCATATTTGAATAGATTTGAAATTGATGAAAGTTCAACTGGCTTCAAGGCTAGATACTGGAAATTCGAAACTTCTAATCTCTTATTATTGGGTACTTTTAGAGTTTATGGATTTGGTGAATTTGTTCCTGCTGAAACAAGAACTGGAGCTCTTCTTCCAGTTAATGGTGATATCAAAAAGTACAAATTACAAGAAAAGTTGAAAAATATTGAAGCTCACAACAAGTTGATTGAATTGCATGAACAAACTAAATATTGTAAAGTTTGTTTAGAAGATTTAGAAGAAAATGTTGATTCACTCATGGATTGTAAGACTTGCGGTGTTGGTTTGTGTGAACGTGACGCCAAAGTTCACAAGAAGAAGAATCCAACTCACGAAATTTCTGAAAGAGTTGCTTTACAACCACTTGCTGATGAACCAGAAGAGGAAGAAACTCACCATGGCTGTGCTTCTCATAATGCCAAGCCAACCAATATCAAAGACTTACAAGGTTTGGAGAAGTATTATTCCAAAGTTATTCAAGAAAAATTCACCCCTGTCACTGAAGGAATGGGACCACTTAAGCAACTCGTAAATGATCGTTCTCTCTTGGTCGATCCTGTTGCTGTTGGTTCAAGTTCAATCTCCATTGTCTTGCCAGATTGTGCTACCTCTAAAAACTTAAGTGAAAGAAGCTCCTATACATCTATTGCCATTGTCGGTTCTAGAAAAGAAATAATTTTGGAATTGATCAATCTCCGTTTCACAAACAAATTGAACTCACCAATTTCAATTACCTCCATGAAACTTGAATATTTGGATCATGATGGAACAACTTGGAAAGCATTTGGTGGTGTTGAAGCTGCCTATTGGGAAGCTGCAACTGTTGCCACTGCTACCTCTACAAACTTTGGTAGAGATGTTGAATTTGTAGTTAGAAAGAGTGAAACCCAAGGTCAATATGTTTGGGGTAAAACTATCAATCTCAGTTCAGGATCAACAAGCAAGGAGTATCTCATCAAGGCTGCTGTTGATTATCAAGGAATTTGTCCAAAGTCTTATAGAGCCCTTCATATGACACCATATGATTTACCATATCCATGCACTTTTAGATTCAGCTTTACTGACTCACTTAATCAATCCAAATCAATGGAAATTGTTTACATGACTCCAGAATTGAGTGGAATTGTTACTCCTCAAGAATTTAAAACCAAATCATACTTGAGAGATAATGACTTCTTTGATGAATGTAGTGATATTATTAATAGAGAGCAATCATTTGTTGGAGTTAAATTAGATTCTGGCAATGAAGGAATTGTTCTCTTCAACAGTGGAATCAAAGAAGGTGAAGCTAAAAAGACATATGATTTGGGTCAATTGAGATTTAGATTTGAACACTCCAATATGGAAGAAACTCTCTTGTGGGAAGGTAACGGAGACTATTGTAAAGCCAAATTCTACTTGTTGTGTGATCCAGAATTGTACTATAGAGGATATTGTATTAAGGTTGTTGCTCATACCTTGACTGCTAGTAATTCCATTGTTAGATATTATCCACTCTATGAATTTATCCAACAATGCAAACCTTTATCCATTAATTAATAAATTCCTTTCTCTCCTATCATCTTCCTTTGCTTGTTAATAAATAATTTGTTTTTTTATCCAAATTTCTAAAAGACGTTGTGCTGGGTCGTTTTTGTGGCGCCAAATCAAACAATAAAAAATTGTTGGATGAAATAATTCCTCGTGCGCAAAAATTAATCCACATCTGTACTTCACCTTCCTCAAGCATGTAGTGCGAGTAAAGAGACAACATTCATGAGATAAAAGTAAAAAAAGATTGGTCATTGATATTAGATAGAATGGATCAAATCTTTGATGAATTTATTGCAGAATTGGAAAATATCGGAGAGGACAATGGTAACCAACCAATAGAAGAAGAACAAGGTGTTGTTGTTGAAGTGATTAATAGTAGTAGTAATAGTGATAATAGTAGTAGTGGCAAGGATGAATTGGAGAGTCAGTTTGCTAAAATTGCTTGCTCAGGCTGTAGAAAGTCTCACCTTGCTTGTGATCGTATCAAACCATCGTGTTCTGAATGTATCATGAGAAAACGACCTTGTCAATACATACCTCCAAAGAAGAGAGGAAGAGTTAAAGGAAATAAGAAGAATGACTGTAATAACTCCTCTTCTTCATCATCGTCTCCATCTTCTTCAACATCACCAACAAATACCTCTACAATAATAACAACTGTAAATATGTCTAACAACAACAATTCAAAGAAGAAGAAATTGGCAATAATTGCTCCATCAGCAACAACAAACAAGGAAGCAAAGAGAGCAACAACTAACGGATTCCATCCCTATCTCTCAAAACAACAACAAACATACTTGACAAGGGAGAGAAACTTGGTGAAAGGAAACATTCATCATGCTATTGTTAATTACTTTTTTGACTTTGTGGATGTTAACTTTGACTTTTTGAGTAGAGAACAGATGGAGGAAATTGTGGCGAATGTTGATTTATATGAGAAAGAATACTCTGTAAGAACACTGCTTTCTGCTGTGCAGAGTTTGTGTGAACAGTCGATGAGTCAAACTGAGCGTTCTCTTAATTCCTTTAGAGAGTCAGTGCACTACTCTTCATTGGCTCATCCAGTTGACTTTTGTACAAAGGTTTCCAAGGTTCTCCTTACCATGTTTACTATTGGCGATGGCCAAACTGAAATGGCTTGGAATTATTTGAACTATATCAAGGACCTTGAAAACGATCCATATTTGGATGATGTAAACAAACTTAAATTCAAAATGATTGCTTCAAAAGGAGAGGCTCATATATCAATTGGGGATGATGATTTAGAAAATTCAAAGTTTGTTGGGAAATCATTTACCAAATTTTATGATCATTACGTCAATGATAACAAGTATGATTCAGAATCTATTAATAATGGTATTACTTTAGAAAATGCAGCTTCTACATTATCTCTAATATATTCAGTGAGAGATTTCCTCTATAACAAGATTGCAAATAAGAAGCTCTCCGATCCTCAAAAACAAATCAAGCATGCCACTATTGAGCTGATGCACAATTACGGACTTTATTCCACTTTGAAGCTCTTAAATTTTAATGCAGATGGTTTGAATGAATTGGTCGAAAAGGTTGAATTGTTACTCTTTAATTTTTCATTGATACTTCCTCTTTATTCATTTCATAATTTGGCAGTTTTTGTCCGTCACAGAATTAACCAATTTAATTCTATTAGAATTCGAATAATTGAAAAAATAGGACAAGGAAGAAATATAAGATCCATATTTGAAGATGAGGAAGAAAAAAAGTATTTTGAAAAAGTTTTACAGCACATCAAGTTGGTGAATTCATTCGCAGCTAGATATCGTATGATACACAGATTATTTCCAAGGCTGGTTAGAGAGCTGAACTCAATCGTCAAGTGGAAGTTTGACTTGCAAATGACCTGTCTCTCTGCTTGTATCACAGATGAAATGTCCAATGAATTGAACAATGTTGATATTACAAACAAGAAGGAATCAAATAAGGATGAATCTCGCTATCAATCATGTATTGAAAAGTGTAGAGCAAGCAATCATATTTTCAGTATTTAGGAATATCATTATAAATGAATCTCGATAGCATTCATAGTATACTAACCTAATACACCACCAGTGGACCTTCAGCTAAGGATATTGACCTCTAGGATTCATACATTGTCTGTTAGTCCATCTTGGGGAATAAGCCAAATTTTATTAATATTTTGTAAAGTAGTATTAAAATCTAATAATAAATTTTGGCGGTAAAAACAGGAAAAATTTAAAAAAAAATAACAAACACAATGTCTGCTGATCGAATGTTTTTTGAAAGTTTGGCAGGAACACTGATAACATCAATGATGTTCCTTGTAATCTTTGGTGTGGTAATCTTTCCGATGTCCCTTTTATTTAAAATTGGTAAGAAATCCGTTTCCTCCCTGATCAGATCTTTTGTATTGAGAAGTGTCTTGTCGATGGTTTTTCTATTTGTTGTCTTTCCGTATGGATTTGACAAGATTTCAAATAGAGTTGATAAAAAGTATTTGGATTTATTAGTTTTGGAAAATAAGAATGCACAACAAGTACATGAGAATATTCCATTTATTGCTGATTTGCATGCGGATACATTAATGTGGAAACATAGAGGTAGTTTCTTGAAATCTGAAATGTAGGTGTTGTGTTATATCAGTTTAATTGTTGATGAAAATTAATTCTGGTATTGTTGTGATGTACATACTATTCGATTGTTGCTGAATGAATGATGATAATATTTTAGGGGACATGTGACACTTTCCAAGATGCAAAAGTCCAACATGGCTCTTCAAACATTTGCTGTAGTAAATTCAATTCCACACACATTGAACATGCAAAACAATGTCAATTATACTGACATATTCCCATTCTTGATGTTTGCTCAACTCTATGAAAGGGATGCTTGGTTTTCTCCTCTCTATAGAGCTAGAGCTATGAGTAGATTACTCCAATCCTATGAAGATGAAGGAAATGGACTTGTTACCTTTATTAAGAATCAAAGAAATCTTGAAAATTTCTTGGAGAGAAGAAAGACCAATAAGAATCTAGTCTCTGGATTATTGTCCGTTGAAGGAGCTCAAGTTTTAGAATATAATTTAGACAATGTTCAAAAGTTATATGATTGGGGAGTTAGAATGTTTGGATTGAACCATTTCACAGATAATCAAGTTGGTGGATCATTGCATGGATCAGAAAAGTATGGTCTCTCAGAATTTGGTAAACAAGTAATCAAGAAGGTTGTTGATTTGAATATGATTATTGACATGGCTCATGCTTCTGAAAGTCACATGAAGGATGTTCTGGATTTGACTGAACCTTGGAATACAACAGTTATCGTCTCACATACAGGAGTTAAAAGTGATTGTAACCATACAAGAAATATTTCAGAAGAAGTGGCAAGAAGAATTGCCAAGAGAAATGGTGTTATGGGTATTGCTTTCTTTGAATTTACTACTTGTGGTTTTGGCTTTAAATCAGTTGCCAAGACAATGAAACATATTGCTAATATGGTTGGTGTGGATCATATTGCTTTAGGATCTGATTGGGATGGGTAAGTATTAATATTTAAGTATTTGGCTTAATCAAAATAGAGCTATCAATGCATTTGGAGCTGCTGACCATTTGGTTTATCTGACAGATGCCCTTATTTCAGAAGGTTTTAATCAAGAAGAGATTAACAAGATTATGGGTGGAAATGTGTTGAGAGTTTTGAGAAGCAACTTGCCAAAATAAAACAATTTGTGTACTGCAAATTTAATCTTGATTAGTCAAAATCAAATTTCTAATATATTCCTCCAATTTCTTTTGTTTGTAATTGGATTTGTCTCCAGTTAAGGCCAAGTAAACCAAACAATCATTTCCAAAATGACCTCGTTTACCTCTCTGTATCAAAGCAAAATAGGCTCCCTTAGAAATTTTCAATTTCTTAAATTTGCTATGAAGAAGTAATAGAGCTTTCTCTTGCTTCTTTTGGTGGACTACTTTTGCTTGACTAATTAAATATTTGAACATTGGGGTTGATCTGTGGAATGGATTAGGTGATTTCATACATCTCATATCAGACAATTCAGTATCGCTCACATTGTAGAATCTTTTCAATTCAGTCTTACTTATTGTCTCCACAAGTGAATTGGATTGACAGGAAGTGCAAACACAATTATCTACCAGAAAATTATAATAAGCAGGATGAGCAGCCAATCTTATTTCTCCCTTGGATTGAGCTAAAGAGACTGGATTATCCAGTTTAATATCTCCTCTCAAATATTCTCCACACACAATACAACAATTATTGTATAATTTCATGAAAAGTTCCTTATAATTGTCCTCCAATTGTGGAAAGTGAGTAGTTTGCACTTGCTGAGCATTTGGACAAATATATCTACAAATAAAATTCTTCCAAACTACTTTGAGATTCGAATAAAAGTGCATTCCTTTGGAAACTTGAGCAATATTGAAATATTCATCAAAATTTAAATATTCCAAAATTTCACACCAAATCTCATCTGAAAGTCCAAGTAAATAGCATGAGGTTTCGAATAATGGTTTCTCATCCACTGGTCCGTCATCTTCCTCAACCTTTACCAGTAAATCTTGTACATCATCTTCCTTCTTGACCTCTGCAATCGAGCTTGACTCAATTTCCTTTCTTTACACTTTCCTTTTTCACACTAAGACGACTCAACCGGCGAGACCTTCTTGGTTTTTTTTCCTCTTCACTATCACTTTCGCTCTCTTCTTCTTCACTACTGCTTTCCTTTACAACTACCTTCTTTCTACTTCTGCTTCTTGTAACTCTCTTTGGAGATGGAGAATCTTCTTCATCCTCATCCTCCTCCTTAACTGCCTTTCTCTTCTTTTGTGGACTTGACAATATCTTTCTCAATTTCTGCCAATCCACAATCATTCTCTCCACCATCGCCACATCCTCACTCTCAATACTCTTATACTCAAACATACATTGAAAAGGTCTATGAATGGCAGGTGAAAAACAATTCTTCAGCAGATGAATGTAATTCTTCCCTATTGGAGGTAACTCTGAGTTCTCCAAATCATCATTCTTGATAGGGTCTAAACTATTCCAATCGACGTGTTTTCCCAAACGAATTGATCCCAAATTAATAATTCTCGAATTTGTCTTATCGGGATGAAAAGGAAAAACTTGTTCTATCAAACCTCGGGGCAAGGCTTGTAATCCAATACATAATTCATCCTGATCAATTTCCTGTCCACAAACAAGACAATTATCGCCTACACTTTTATGATATTCAACCCACATTGTAATTTTTCTATTTAACTATTAATATTTAGTATATTAATATTAGTAATATATTTAATAAATTCGTTGACTATGATGAATGAACAATTAAGAGTTTGATGTTTTTTCAATTTTTTTTATAATTGAAGTTTTTAAATTGATTTACAAATAACCAAAAGATTTTGATTTTACGGTTCGAGTGGAAGATGGAAGTCGAATGGAGAGAAGAACATTCAGCAGCTACCATCAAAAGGATGTTTGAAGAGGAAAGACTGAGTGGAACTTCTTCTTAAATAAATGAATATAGGAATGAATTATTGATGCTTGCTCACTTTAAAAAAGTGGAATGATATTAAGGCACCATCAATAAAAGAAGATTCGAATAATTTAAATGATGTATTTGCAGCTAGTTTTTCAAGTTGATTGATTGATATAATTAAACTTTGAGAATCTATTTGTAAGAATCAAGTTCTTCCAAATCAAAGGTATTAATATCCACTAGTTGTTGCTTGGAGTTATTTTGTAAAGTAGTTGGTAATTGAAGTGAAACAATATTCTTTGGTTTTCTTTGAAAATAAGCATAGATGAAATCATTTTCCCAACTATAAAAGGAAAAGTTCATACTAGCATCTTCATTAATTAATGAGGAGGATCTAAGGTAGTTATATCGAGTGATTGTTTTCTTATCGAGGAGTTGAGCCATTTTAAGAACATTAGGTGGTTGTGTTGAATTGAACAATTCTTCTTCCTTTCCCTTTTCTACAACAATGGAGAAGAGTTCAATGAGCCGATCTACACATTCCACCACTTTGGGTTGCTTTCTAAATGTCGCATATTGAGATTGAAAAGTATTAAATGTCTTTTCTTCCAAATAGTAAAACTTTGCCAATGAAATAATCTGATCGAAACAATAGCACATGATATCAGAACGATACATAAAGTTCAGTACTTCAAATATTGGAATGACAGAATTCCTATACATCCACTTGCATAATTTCCAATCAAGTGAATTATTCCTGTAAATTAATTTGAAAAATAAATCTCCTCTTGGCACAAGTGATGGAACCACTCCACAGGCACGAGCACACCTTTTCACATATCCTAAAGCTTCCACTTTTGATGTCTTGAATGATGAAATCTTATTGCTAATTTCAGAGCAATCAGTATAGTAAATTGCTTCCCTAATCCAAAAGGAAAACTCCTCAGTATGTGCAAATACCAATTCAAAATTACTAATTCTAATATTTCCAAATTCATTCTGCAAATATTTAAAATAATTTTCATCATCAATGGTAACACCAACCAATGATAAACTAATATTATAATCTCCTTCCACCATTTCATAATCATTCATTTCATAAATATTATCTTCTCCATGATTTATCAATTGATCAAAATCACATCCATTAATAAACAATCTATCTGTCCATTCCACTTTCGTATTTTCATAATTATCCAAATAGTACAAGAACCATTTCAATTCCTTATAATAATACAATCTCTTCATCATGTTCGCCATCAGGGAATAATTATTCTGTGTCCTAATCAGATTAAATCTATCAAAATCAATCTTCTCAACCAATTTCAAATCATTCATTTTGCAAATTGGATGCGTTGATGATGTTTCCATCATTTTCCAATACGAATAAGTCTTTTGTTTCTTCTTATCCGAGGGAGTTAAAAACCTCTTAAATAACAAATACTTTTGATAGCCTTCGACAAATTTACGAAAACTTTTGCTCACCCTCCGAAATATGGACAAGTAAAAATAGGGTAGATAGGGAAGGATTTGATAATAGAAAACATCATGGCTGAGAGTGCCAATGAATTTGCTCATTTTTTTTTCAAATTTCTATTTTAAAACTCATCAAAAATTGATTCATTGTAAACTATTCACAATTTTCAATTTCAAAATCGAGTTGCAAAACCCCTTGAAAAAAAATGAAAAGTTCATCGTTTGCTAAATTTAATTTTAAAAAAAATCTCAACACCACAAATCATACCATTTTGAAAATGTTGAATAATAATCATTCAAAGAATAATAATAATCGATCGGGAGGATTTAAAAATTCAAATTCGAAACAATCGAAACAATTTTATTCTACTAACGTGAATAGTTCTACTGCTGCTGGTGCTGCTTCTGAGGAATTATCTGATAATTCAATGATGAAATATTCAATTCCGGACAAGTATTATCAAAACATGAATATGGCTAGTTTATATTCGTATATGGATAAGTATGAATTTAGTGGAAAACAGTGGAAGAAGTGGTTTGAAAATTATCAGAAATCTGGAAAGGAAAATTTAAAGATGATGAGACAAGTGGTTCAAGAAGGAACATTCCATGCATTTAGAAATTTGTATTTTAAACCTGATAGAGAAGTAATCAGTACACAAGCAGTCGGAGAGGAATTATTGGAGGATAACATTATTTCAATTAATAGAGATGATTTGATGGAGAGTTGTGTGAATACCAAGTTTTATTCAAATCATAGTGCTGCCCAATCAATTTTGGAGACTTTGAAAACACCAAAATTATTTAAAAACACTCAAGTATTGGTGATGGAAGGAGATTGTTTGGAAGCTGCATTGTTGTTGCAAAAGAATGCAAAAATTGAGGAAAATATTGTGAGGAAGGTTGCTGTATTAAATATGGCAAGTGCAAAAAGACCAGGTGGAGGCTACAAAACAGGTGAGTTTTTCAGTCAATTTGAAATCTAATCAATTTATTGCTTGGTTGACCAAATTGATTTTGACTGATATAGGAGCTGGAGCCCAAGAAGAAAATCTTTTCCGTAGAACAAGTCTAGCCTTCTCCCTCGAAGATATTGAGAAATGGGATAAGAAACGAACTGGAAAATACCCACTCGATGAATTTGGAGGTGTTTATGTGCCAAATGTCACCGTGATTAGAGGAAGTGAACTCAAAGGATATCCATTCTTGGATAAAATCTACAAAACAGATGTTGTTTGTGTGGCTGCTTACTCAAATCCTGATTTGGATCCAAAGAATGCAAACAGATTCCACTCCTCACTTGTAGAAAATGTCAAGAAGAAACTTCGTCTCATATTTGCAATGGCTATCGAACACAATGTAACAACACTTGTTTTATCCTCTTTGGGATGTGGAGCTTACAAAAATCCTCCTCAACACATGGCGGCTCTCTTCAATCAAGTAATTCAGGAATTTGATGGACATTTCGAACAGGTTGTGTTTGCAATTTATAATGATAATAATGCAAAGAATGCTGAAGGAAATGTGGTTCCGTTCGAAAGGGAGTTTAAAACAAAGGCTATCCCAGTAGAGTGGAAATAAATGAAATATAGACTTTGAAAAAGAATTGATAAATTTAAAGAAAGGGGACCAGTGGGAATCGAACCCACGGCCTCTCGCACCCAAAGCGAGAATCATACCACTAGACCATGGTCCCTTACATTTAGTTGTGATTATTAAGGCTTTCTGACATACTTAAGCTGACCAATCTGATTGAAGAGTGATAATGAAAATGGGGAAAGAGCTGTTTTCTAATAGATTCATTACAGTTGTTTAATTATTACAAAAATAATTGATATATTTTACAATTTTGCTTGTGAGAGTTCCAGTCAGATTTCTGGCATGCCAAACTACAATACCTTACAGATTTACAGGCCTGACAGAGTTTTCCCTTTGTATTGCACATCTTACACTTTTCGTGGTTGAAATGAGATAGAATAGGAAATCTTTTGAACTCGACAACGTATGGACCCACACAAAAGCTGTTGATAAAGAGTGAATGTTTTCTATGATAGTCACACATGGCAAAGAATCCTCTCAATTTCTGTTTTGGATCGCCAAAGTCATAATTATGTTGCTTCATCTTAGCTCCATAACAACAGAATGTAAAGTATGCTCTTGGTGAGGGAGAGAATAAACCCATTTGAACATTTCCTAAATTATCCACATTCTTGATATTATCCCAAAAGTAATTGACATGTTTATCTTGGCTTGCAGAATTGTGAAGAGATGAAGTTTGACAAACAATTCCAAGTTTCAATAAATCCTTATGTGGTTGATTCTTTCTATAAATCTTTGCATAATTAGAAACAATATCAGTATGCCAATTTTGCAATAAAGTATACTCTTCACAATTAGATTTAGCTCTATCCATTTCATTAAAAACAATATTTGAAATCTTTTCTCTGAATTGTTTGGCCTCATCTGACAAATCCTCAAAGAATTCCTCGTGGATCATTAATACTAATTTATACCACATGTCTCCATCTTTCGACTTTTTTAATTGGTTCAAATTCAACTCTTCTTTGGAAACTTTTCTCAATTCCTTATAATCAAGATTCAATTCTTTAAACACCTCAGAAAACATTTCTCTATCATTCCAAGACATGACATTTTCCGAATCAAAGAAAAATTCTAATTCCAAACCTAACCTCGTCATGGCATATCTTTTAAAAAACAAGTAGACAATAAAACAACTCAAAATCTCCTTTTCCTTAACTTTCTCTTCTGGCAATCCACTGAACATATCTTCATAATCGAGTCTAACATTATTATTATTATTCAAATCACGTCTGTCGACAAATTCTCTTCCAGTCACTGATGCTTCATCTAAACACAATAAATTAACAACAAAATTAGTAAACATATGAACTTGAACAGGTAATGGCAATGATCTAAATATCGGAACAATGTCTTTAATTGTTGGACAATCGTTACATCGATTCGGATCATCATTATCTTCCTCACTCAAACATTCACCATCAATATATTCATCATGAAAATAACCAGAAATATGGGTGAGCAATTTGTGTAGTGGCTTTTTAATGGGAGTTTTCAATTTGAGAAATTTAAGTAGATTTTCCCTTCCATTTGTTTGTTGCATTTTTTTTTTAAATTTTTGATCAAGATTTAATTTTCCAAAAATGGCTGTTTGTAAATTTGGAAATTTGGCGGCAAAGCTGTTCCTCACCTGCTAGTTGAACAACCACACACATCTCAAGAACACATTTCCACATAGCATAATAAGGATATGCCTACACTCATATGTTGGGTTTTGAAATTTTGTTACGGTGCAGATTCTGCACTATTTTGATAAACTTCCATTATTGTTCTTATTTGGATAGTTTGGAACCATGTATTATTTTGAATGTTTTGACTTGTTGTGTTCTCTTCAAACCAAAGGTAACAAGTTGTAACTTTTGCATCATCCAAATTTGAACATTGTTGAAAATCAACAGCTCTCACACTGGTTCAGTGGACTGTAGATTCTTAATAACCACACAACATTGACGCAACGTTTTCATTTGTTGATGAGTTTGGAGTTGTTGTGCTAGCTTGGGATGTTTAAGCATTAATCAAAAAAACCAATTTACAACACTACTGTATACTGTAGCTTAACACACATGTGTCGACTTCAACAATCAACAACACAACATCTGCAGACATTCATTAGTAAAAAGCAACATGTTGTGTTCAAACGATAGATGTAAAATCCCTCACTCATGTGTATTTCACATCGCATGTATTAAGGTACGGTGTGGAATCAATCAACATGCCACCACATGAACACATGCCACACATCTACATGTAAATTGTTTTGATGCCCATCAATTTGGTGACGTAAACTTGTTCAAAATGAGTTCTTGGTTCCAGGGAATGAAGATGGACTACTTGGAATTTCATCTGAGTCTTGCTTGTCTAGTTGATGAACAGTATGAGTTATTTATTCATGTGATCTCTCAAATGTTTGATTACGCAATAGTTTCTGATAGTTTAATTTTATCAAATCTTTTCAGTCGGTTTTGGCTTGTATTCAAAATAAAGCTTTCGTTTCATTTTGATACTAAAGTGAGCTACCTTTTCACATTTTAGAGCTAGCGTTGTTTCACTTTCTTCCACAATCAACTCTTTTGGACCTTTGTGTTCAATAATAAACTTTGCAAGTGCTTTCGAATTGTTTCCTAGACCTCTCTTAACATCTTTCTTCAAATATTTAGAATTTGCAAGCATTACAGGAGTATTACATGCTAATTCATTAATTAAATCAAAAGCTGTTTGTCCCTTTGAGTTTTTAACAAAATCCATTCTTAATCCTCTTGCTATTAGTGCTTGGAGGATGGGTTTTCCCTTCATTACATAATGATGTGGGTGGTTTCTTATAAAGTGTAAATAATATCTCACAACATAATGTGAAATATCATCACCATCCACAGTTCCAAAGAAATGTACATTTCTCAATTGTTTCAATGGACTTTTTTCAATTGAAAAGTAATAAATACCATCTGAACGATGAGTGCATAATGAAACAAGCTCTGGTTGACCTGAAGAATAATCAAAACCTATAAAATTGGTTTCTTTCATCAGTATAAGGGAGTGAAATGAATCGAATGCAAATCTATATAAATATCTGAACATTCCCAAGTCATCAGTATGCGAAATGTAATTAAATTTTGGCAATTCCTCAATCTTTGCTAAAATGTCAATTGTGAAAGATCTAGAAGTTTGAAAAGGCATTGTTTGATTGCCATCTTTGCAAAATAAAATATCCTTCAATGATAAATTCAAATTCTTTGTAAATGTTTCAGTAAAACAATATGGGGAATAATGTACCAAATGCTTTCCATTCACATCTCTAAAATTAATATCCAAATATTCAGAAAATTCAGAGCTTGAGGTGTTTTTCAGATTATTCATACATGCATATAAAATTCTATCATTAACAATTAATCCATCAATGGGAAATAGGTTCCAAGAATTTCCAATAGTTTTAACTAATCCTTCATAACTGAATTTCTTTGTAAAAGTTCCTTGTATATTGTAACCATTTACAATTGCAATTTCATTTGGTGTGATATCGTAAATGTTTGGCTCCTGTCTCATTAATTTAATATCTTCTTCTGGAATATTGCTCAATAACTCAAGGTTTTTACCTTTAACAGAGAACAAATAGTGGAGAATGTTATTTCCAAATTTGTCTCTTCCCTTAAGATTTTCCTTTTGAATTTTTTCGCAAATTAACATGGCTGGACTAACACCATAAATATCACAAGTGTTGCTATCGATTTGTAATGCATGACATGCGCTAAAACAAGCTGCAGTGAATTTGTACTCTCCAAGTTTACAAAAATCAATATTGTAATCTTTTGATAAATTTTCAATATCAGTTTGATTGATGGATTCTAGAAATTTTTTAGTAATATTTTTGCCTACATTAATGTCTACAAATGGATAGCTCAGAATAAGTTTCAAACATTCCACAGATCCTATATGAATTCTAAATACTTTAAAGGATGGATACTTGTTGTAAACTCTTTCTAGTGTATCCAATATTTGTTTTAAATTCTCAATGTATATGTCTTATTAACAACAGCATTATATCCTCGAACATTCCAAATATAAGAAAATAAATTAATATTCAACTCAAAGTTATCAATTAAATAATTCGATTCTTGAACTGAATAAGAAAGTATAGAGTTAAAGAGGAACAGTTCAACATTCCTCGGATAATGACTTGGAAATGCATGTGCTAATTCGTGAAGTTGTGATTCAGTTTGAACAATATCCTTCTTACATGAATAATAAATATTATCAACATGTTTCAAAGTTGTAATGTAATAATCTTCTGGATATGAAAATATAATAGTGCCAGAGTTTTTGTACTCGTTCAAGTTAAAGATTCTAATTGATGGAAAGTCGAATAACATATATTTAACAGTTGGGAAGAAATTGAACACAATGTCGTTCCAATTAAAAAAGACAACTCCAGTGTTAGAATAGTTTTTTCCTACAATGGCAGAAATTGAAATAAACTCAACTCTGGACCAAGGATTTCCCTTACAGAATCGTTTCATCTTTCGAATTAGTTCTTGCACTATATTCGGCCATTCATCATAGGTAAGTCTATTCTCACACTGTTGATTAAACCAAAAACGATTTAACAAATTTTTGTACGATTCATCCAAGGAATATCTCTTAATATACCTCGATGTTGTAAAGGTCAAATTGACAATAGTTGGCCTGAAGGTTTTCACAGAATTTGTCAAAGATTGACAAGCAAGAAAGAATGGTACTCTGTTCGGATGTTCAAAATCAACAAATTCATCAACATTGCAATAACCATTTCGTTCAAATTCGTCCAATGTTGATGGCATTTCAATTAGTGGAACAAATAAATATTCATCACAGCAAATATCACGCACATAATCCAAGAAATTAAAAATGTTGTGATGAATTTCGGGTGGCAAATTGGCGAGTGTCCATCCTCTATTTGAATGTTGCATTTTTTTTGTAAAGTTTCGTGAAATTAGAAACGAAATTGGAAGTATTAAGGGTTGGTGAATAGATCATTTACCAGAGTTTAGTTTTTTGAAATTGAATGTTTATTCCTTACTATTGAGCTTTCTTCTCCTAATTAAACAGACAGAAGCAATAATAATAATGGAAATGACACCCACCAAGATGAGTACACCAACAACGGATGAAACAACTGCTGCAATCACGACAGTGTTATCTTGTGTTGTAGGAAGAGTGTCTGTTTTTACACTTCCTTTCTTTAAATTCATGTCAATAACTGCAAATGAAGTCAAGTGATTTGTTTGACAATTAATAGATAATTGTTTCTCATTTCCAATAGATTGAATGTCAATAAAGAAAGTATTCAATCCATCAGATTTCCATTCCTTTGATGTTTCATCAAGGTATGAGCAGGTCAAATTTGATTTTTCAAATGATTGAATTATCAAATTGGAAAATGTGAATGTGATTGGATTGATGAGATTTGTCACTTGAATCTTTTCACCATCTTGTTTCAATAAAAGTAAACTCACAACTTTGCTTACAACTTCAACTGTTGAAATTGTTGACTTTTCATCATCACTTCCAGTATTGGTGTTACTTGATTGAGGTTTGATTTGAGTCTTTTCTGAAATAGCTGAAATGATTTGAATTGTTTCATTAGTTGAAATTTGATTCGAAACATAAGATGAAATGGTTGAAGGTAATGTGATTTGAACTGAACTTGAAGATGTAAATGTGATATTCTTAGAGTCAATACTTGTCAAGTCTTTCACAATTTCAGTTCTGCTCTCTGTCACGTTCAATGCGACTTGTTGATTTGTAGTTCCAGTTTGTGAAGGAATTGGTGCAGGTGGACAAAGAATTGTATTTTGCTTTCCATTTTCAGTTTGACACAATGAAACAGAACAATCAGAGGAAATGTACAAATTTGAGCATTGACAGTTATCCATTCCAGTACAAGTACCACGTGATGAACAAACACTTGAATCATTGGCCAGCTTACCAAAACAAGTAATAACTGGTATTGGAATACATGATGTTTTGAATGAGTTTTCAAATTGGTATCCATCTCTACAATAAGGTGTCAGTGAATAAATTCCATTTGAACTTAAATAAATTGTTCCACTCAACTCTGAATAAGCATATGAAAAAGCTATAGTCAAAGGTACATTCTTTGCATTTTCAGAAAAATCTGGGGTTGTTCCAGAATTTCCATTTCCTGCAATGGTTTGCCATTTTCCATCCAAACCAATCTTTCTCAATTTTAGACCTTCAAAATATAATACTTCCTGGTTTGGAAGAACGAACGCTCTTGAATTAATGAGTGAAACTATTTTTGAATATTTGGCAATACTGCCATCAGGTGATGGACTAGAAGAACCTGCAATACCTGCAATATGATCAATACTTCCATCTAAAAGTGAAACTTTCTTGATTGATTGTAAATTAGTAGCAAGGAAATACAAATTATTATTCAAACATGAAATAAACGACCTAACAGTCGTAAATTGGTAGGGAAAGGTTACAGGTGTCATTATTGATGTTTCACTATTAATTCGTCTGATTCCTTTGGAAGTTACAATGACCAATTCATTTTCACAGAATGTTGTGAAATAATAATAAGAAAATGTATTCGAAAATGGACCAATAGATCCATCTCCAATATAGAGATTGTCAATTCTATCTTGTTGCACATCGTACTTTCTAATAATTGTTCCATCAATGAATAAAATATCTCCATTAGATTTAACTAGCAATGAACTTGGCAAACTTAAAAATTTAGAAGAGTCAGTTGAAGTTACATTGGCCATTGGAATTGATTGGACAACCTTGTGAATGAATCCATCAACAATCTTCCAAATACCATTCACAGTTGAAAAGTATAATTGATTATCATGATTCGAATAATGAACTGAATACACATTTGGAATATCTTGTGTTGCATTCATTCCATCAAATAATGATCCTGTTAAGCATGTGCCTGTTCCAGCAAGTGCATTTAGTGTTCCATTTCCAATCATTACAATTTTACAATTTACGAAATAATAAATATTACCACTATTAGAAACTGAAAAATAACTGGATGTTTCAGTATTGTAATAAAGTAATTGTTGTTGTAAAGTTTCTGGATTCAATTTTCCAATCGAATTGGAAGTACTATAATAAATAATTCCAGTCTGATCTATTCCAATTGCGTTAATATACGTAGAAGTACTGAATAAAGTAATTACTGTTCCAGTAGAAGTCAACTTTCGAATAGCATTGAAATTAGCGTCAATAAAATAAATAGAATTGTCAATTGGACTGACTGCAACATCCTGAAGTGATGTAAAGGAGGTATTTGTAGCCAATGCACCTTCAACAAATGGATAGATACCTCCACCAATAATTGTGGAGATTGTTCCTTCAGACGAAACCTTTCTAATTTTTTGATACTCTAAAATAATCAGTTCATTACCTATTTCAATAACTTTAGAAGGTGAAATGATAGCTTTTGATGCATCGGTACCATCACTACTAACAAATGAAGAGGGATTTCCTCCAACATATGACAAATTTCCATTATCTGAAAGTTTTCTAACAATATTTGAATAATCAACAAAATGTAATTCTCCATTTTTAGAGAATGAAATTGATCCAGGACTAATTTCAGTTTGTAATGCAATTGAATCTCCTTTCACATTCGAACCACTGAAAATAT